TCATGGCATCTGCAGGCCTACCGTGCACCCTGCGCCCTGCGCGGTCCCGCAAGCCACCAGCCAAATGCCCCGGCAAATGGAGCACCTCAGACTCGGGGATGGATTCATTGGATCTCCTTGCTACTCAACGTTGCGTAGCTGCTTGTCTGCCTTCGTTCATGGGTCTTCATATGCGGCAGGTGAAGCTGGAGCGACCAACACGCAATGCGAAGGCTGTCCATGTCTGAGACGAGTGCGTGTGCATGGCAGGGAGAGGTTTCAGGCTGTTTCCTCGGCACCGGACTGCAGGCAGCTGAGCAGAGCCTCGGTGCAGAGACTTCGTATCTTCAACTTTCACCCCACGATCACAACGTCCAGCAAAAGTCTGTTACTTATAAGCCCGAAGTGCGTGCGGGACGGATACGCCTAAGCCCTGAGTGCGCAGGATGCTGATCTGCCAATCTGCGCTCCGCATGCTCGCCGAGTTTTTGGAGTGGTCCGAGTCTTTCTCAAAGGGGGCTTTGCTGCATGCCCACTCGTGTTATGCGAGACTCAGCCGTCCTCGGTCAAAGCTGGTGCATGTCAGGTCCACTGAATTCTGCGGTCGTGTCGGGGCAATTTCTGGCTCGGCTGCTGTTTCCGCCCCGCCCCTCCACCGACCCCGCAACCGAAAAGGATTTTGCCATGCTCTCCCATCCTCCCAATCCTCCTGAATCGGGTCCCCTGGTCTTCTTAGGTCTCCTGGTGCTCTCCTTGTGATTTCTCACTTCGCTTGTGTGCTCCTTTTGGTCTCTTGGTTGTCATGGCATGGTGGTCCCGTCGTAGTCGTCGACACATAATTTCGTGGAGGCAGCCGTGACAGAGCATCCTTGCCAGCGCACGCAAGAAGAGAAAGAGACGGAGGCGCCAGTGGCTCCCGTGGTAGTCTAGACCACCCAGATACCAGTAGCAAGCACACCTCATGATGGTGCGGGAACTGCGACATGATATCATCGGGGCACCTGGCTGTGGCGAGTGAGAGAACACAATACCAGCAAACATACGAGCCGCACCAGCCGACGAAAGGATGAAACTGAGCTCCTATTGCACGTTGCTGTCAAGTTCACACAGAATGCTTGGGCTGGTAAGGTGCTTAAGATCATGTTCCTTTTATGCGAAGGACGCTGAAGAAAGTTAGTGTGTGTGTGTGTGCCGACTTTGATGCTGTGAAAGTATGCGTTACTGTTGCGATAGCTCGAGCGCGAATACGAGCACTATCTGGGCCAGAGGAACAGATCCACCAGAATCCCAAGGCAAGGAAAGTCTTGCAAAGGCTGCCAGAATCTCAGAACCAAGCGGAACTATTGATGGCACGGGAACTGCGACATGAAATCAAGGTAGCAGCATGGGGGGCAACTGGCTGCCGCAAGCGCCAGAACACAATACCAGCGGCACAACCGTACGAGAGACTGAAACTGAAAGCTCTAGCGATGCTCAACCACATGCCGGGGCCTCTCGTATTTGACTATTACATATCCATCTCCAAGTAAGTAAACCCCCATCAATGAATGAATAAACAAATGAATCCATAAATGCACATTTTGTTGCATGTTAATGTAAATGCCTATGTATGTGTATGTATGTATATATATATATATACAGTTTATATATAGGTACATATATATATACATATATACGCGGGTATGTCTGTCCAACCATCTAGGTCTCTAGATCCTGTACCTATGTATCGTACACTCAGCTTGATATGTTGCTCGGGAGGAAGGGCCCTGAAGAGCCTTCGTGGCTGCCGAGGCGCTGTTTTCCAAGCCGACAGGCATGAAAATCACAGCAGGCACCGCCTCCAAAGTCACGATCCATCCGTTTTTGCTTACTGCTTACAGCATGGCAAAGTGCAGCCTCAGCATGTCATTGTGAAACTGACTTCTTTCAAGCAACAAAAGGGCAGATTGGGGCGGTAGCTGGTAGCTCCCTCGTTGCGGACGGAGGCTCGTGGCTTGAATTCACTGTTGACTGTAAGCTCCAGGTCCGAGTTTGGCAAGCACGCACCGAGCCTACGGCGATCTCCCCGCCTGCCCTTGCCAGGCTTCGAAGAGCAGCATCAGCACCGTCACGCCTCTTGGCTTGTCCTGAGACTAGCGCGGGTCACTGTAGGCCGCCTGCAGGACGCAGGACGCGCCGCCCACTTCTCCAAAGCCTTCAAGCTGCCTTCAAACTGCCTTCAAAGCCCCTTTGAACTCCGGGCCCGGCCTCGAAGCGACGCACCTGGGAGACCCAGACCCTCAGACCCTCCGCCGCTCAGCCAAAAACTCCGACGGCGTGTCTGAGAAGGCACAGTATACCGTAAAGGATCAGATGGGGCCGTCTTGCGCGAGACAAAGCTCAAAACACACCGATACGTATCGTCTGCAGGACCCAGTTGCCGGAGGCTCAGGGCGGTGCCATTCGTATGCTGGGAGCCTTTTGCGGGTCGCCAGCACCAAGCATCCGGCGAAGGATGCGCCTCACCTCTCCGGGGCAAGCGCTCTCTTTGACGGGACACCGCATCCACCGCCTCACACTGCTGCCTGCATCTGCTTCGCCAGCATTGCGGACTCGTTCTGCAGTGCATCCAACTTCTCCTGGCGGCGCCGGAGGGCCTCGTCCTGGCCACAGTACGTGCCAGAGCGGCCCCGAAACAGACGGCACTGACTCCACCTGCCATCACTGAACAAGCCGGCAAGGCAATCTCCCTGGCCTGAGGAGCAAGCCGGCGCATGACACCGGAGCGGGAGGGGACAACTCACTGCGGTGCCGAAGGCCATGCCGCCTCTCAGGCCTTCACCCACATCCGATGCAGCATCATGCCGGGCCTTGCATCAAGAAATATGAGCATGCAGCAGCGCAGCATGCAAGTGGCGTGAAGTGGCGTGACCCTGCGACATCCCGCGACTCGTACGATGTCGACATGCAGCGACACGTTTACTCTGGGCCCTAGGCGTCATGATGCCTTTCTCGTAGCAGTCGTCCAGCGACTCGCATGACACCTGCGGTTGTGCTCGGCCCCTTGCCATGTGTGTGGCATACATCAAAGCTTGGAGTAAGGCCTCCCGGACTTCGCCATCGACCAAATCGTGGCGGTAGATCCTCCCCATTTCCCATGCCAAGAGATCTGACTACCGCTCGTTGTGCAACCCCACTCTGCGGCTGCACAGTAGACTTGGAAGAATGTTCGGAGTCCCGGCACTGGCGAAGCGCAAGGTGGCCAGGCAGCACGCCAGCCGCGACATCAAGAATGGATAACATGCTCGATTGGAACAAGAAATTCATAGCTCGTGTGACAAGCTTGCAAACACCGTCAAGCCACAGTGAGTTGCTGTTGCTGGGACAGAAGTTCACTTGTGGACCGCCCTTGAAACGTCCGTGCAAGCATCACCTCAGCTTCAGTCTCCACTCCCAGCACTCGAGCCGGGATATTTCCTTCGCATGTTCGCAGAACACTTCCGAGGCGACAGGCACCAAGGAACACGAGAGAGAGAGAGAGAGAGAGAAAAAAAGATAGAGAGAGAGCGAGAGAGCGAGAAAGAGAGAAGCACATCAAGGCGACTCCCCACCTGAGCCCGGGGAAAGCAAGAAGCACATCGAACACAACCATAGGGTCTAGTGTGTAGGATTAACGGTTAGGGTTCAGAGCTTAAGGCTTAGGGTTTTGTCTGCCTCTATGGGTTTATCATGCTAAGTTTTTCAATGACTTTAACTCTTGTGCGTTTTTTGTACCAGTGCTCCTACATTTTTCAGTGTTTACAGGCTTCTTGACGCGAGGGTCCTGCATAATAATTTTACAGGATATGCTAGAATCTGCTAGAAACAAATCCTTACAAAAACTTCAGCGTGTTCTCTGAAATAGGGCTAAGATTCTTCATAGATTCAAAACCGAGTTCTGCTGATTCCAAAGCCTGAATCGAGAGAGTGAGAGAGAGACGCAGCGTACATAAATACAAAGTAACGTCAGGGACGTATTGGGTGTGCTACGGCAGGGTGAGAACCCTAAACCACCCACACCCCAGGATTATATCGCATATTATTGAAATTGTATAGTAATTCTATTTGATACTACAATTATTAGCATAATATAACAGTCATGTTGTAGTAATATTCTAGTGCATGTCGGACATTACCTGCATGAGGGTTTTCGGAGTGCAGGGGTGCTGTGTTTGTGGGGTCCTTGCCAGAAGGAATCTACTCTGTAGGGTTGTATACTGGGCTGCGACTCAGTGGGAGACAGGGACAATACTGTTGATGATATAATTCCTGCATTACCTTAGTGACCCTAAGCTATGGGAATTATGGTATATTCCTTATTATGGGTAATGCAGGATTTGTACTATCAACCGTATCATTCCCCAGGGTTGATGATTGCATCTTTTCGGGCAGCTCGGGCACCTGTTTGCAGGAATGCTACTGATTGCTTCCATCAGGGCTTGCGACATCCGAATAAGGCTGTATAAGTAGTGAACACAAGCCAATCCGGAGGAATATACATATAGGCAAATCTAGGCTTCTACAATGCCACGAACTCCTTTTCTCGCTTGTTGGTGCTCGGCGCTTTCTTGTGAACTCGTGCTTCTGGGAAGTGCGTCGCGGGCGCGGAGGCGTTTGGGGGTTTCTTGAGCTGAGGTTGTCTATCGTGCAGTTTAGGGCTAGGGCTCAGGGTTCTGACATCAAGGGCTTTGATGCTCTACTGCCGCTGTTGTCCTGAATCTGATCGGCTGCTGGGTGCTGCTGCTAAGGCTACGGGTGCCAGAAAGCAGAACTGCTGCGCCCAGACCCTAATGTAGGAGCCTAAATCATTACCAACACTGTTTTGGGAGTTCCTTATTCAAAATTATAATATAATGGGCCCCGAAACCCTATTCTAATTATTAAGGCCCCTATATCATAGAACCCTCATAGTAACCCTTATAGACCCCTTTTAAAGGAACCCTTTAAGGGAGCCCTATTCCAATTATTAAGGCCCCTATATTAAACAATAGACCATCGAGAGGGCTTTCGAGCGGTCGGTCACTGAAGATCTGGGACGTATTTGGGACTTGGGGTTCAGAGTGGTTTCAAAGTCAATAGCAGCTGTGCCAACTTGCAAGCAGCTTATTGAAGTTCACGTGTTCATTACAGCGGAATTACATATGGGTGCTTGTATATATATATATATATACACACACTCATAAATAGAACCCAACAGGCTGGGGCTAATAAGGAAATCTCCTCCCGCTCAGCATTATGCCTTGTGACGTAAGCCCCGGCATGTTGCCGTGCTTTCCAAGGCGTCCAGAATGAGGAAAGATTTCGGCAGTTGACAAAATTAGGGCCCCTGTTTGTTCATGCTTCGTAACACTTATGTAAAATGTACGATTACTTGGGACAACATACATACATATGCATATATATATATATATATCATATTTACGAGTACACGCAGATCTGTGCGTTGTTTGTTTTGCACGTTCGATTTTTGAACTGGATACCCCGGAGGGCCAGTAGCCAGAACAAAGGGGCCGTAATTTGGACATCTGGTGACATTGTAGTTGTTGGATGCAACATCGTGTAGATCCGCAAACCCTCACACCCGTAAAACTCTAATCCCGTTCATGATGGAGCCAGCACGAGACCCTACACAACCCAAAGCGGCGGATGCAACAGCAACATCGTGTAGATCCGTAAACCCTAAAACCTCCAAACACCGACAGCCTTGACCCACTAAAAGGAAGCCCGAGAACACCGAAAACACGACACCTAGACCTTAGCCCTCCAATGGCGAAACCCAGGAACCCTAAACCATAACACTCCAAAGCGAAAGTGTCTAACATATGTCCGCTTTTTGATTCCTCCGAGCAGTGTCTTGGGAGACATACAGCAAGAGGGTGAGGATCTAGGATTTGGGTGTGTAGGTTTTTCTGGTTTAGGGTTTCTAGGGCTTGGCAATATGGTGACATAGCGACAGAAGAGACCAGTGTTCACATCCAACAAAGGAAGACCAAGTGAGAAGTGCTCCATCGGGCAGATTCGCGTCTTGATGCATCTAAGGCAAGCAAGTCCTCTTGGTGCTTAACGCCGTTTGTCTGTGTGTACATATCTAACTATCTGTACATATACCTGTCTAACTATCTTTCCTCCTATTTACCTACCTATCTATATTTGTTGATCCTTATAGACAGATAGACACAATTCTAGAACCTGAGCCAGCTAAGAAAGCCAACCACTCCCTGACAACAGGTCAATACATGTTGAGTGGAACAAATATACGGGCTTCAGAAAATGTGACACCTTCTCGAAGCCTCAGCATAATACGAACAGTTAGCACAAGAACCTGTTAGCTTCAGCCCGACACGCCTAAACAACTAAACCTCTGACCCCCCAAAACCCTGAGCCCGAAACCTTTAATTTAATCCACACCGCATAGTGGACAGCAGAAAGTTGGAACCTGACCCTAAACCGATCAGGACAATGATGCTCCAAATTTCCGTCTGCTGCAAGACTTGACCAACAATAGCTACAGTAAACCATATAAAGTTGAAAACCGGATTAAGGCCAAATAGTGCTGGGATTCCCTTTACATTACTCTTAAGGATTGAGGCTATGGGGCTTCCAACTTTTTGGGTTCTACTGTATCATCCCAAAGGCTCAGCAACCGATCAGTAGAGAGCCGCCTTTACTGTAAGACAGAGAAACTGATACGGGGGGCCTTGATGATTAGAAGAAAGTCCTTGGGGCTATATTCTTACATATCTTTAAGCGGAATGTAAGGATAGAAATCTTGTAATTTTTGTGCTAATGACCTGTTCGACAACCCTAACCCCTAGACCATAATCTCTAAACCGACCCTAAACCGTTTCACAAAGTGTCCTGACCCGTCAAGCAGATTCTCTTCGGACTTCAACTTCAACTCTAATTAAGGGTGCTTAATTAACTAGAATAGGGTTTAGGGCCTACTATAGTTATCCTGACAAGGCCTAAGGAAGAACCAATCAAAGAATGGTAGACGAGCGGAATTCATGGGCTCGGAAATGCTGAAGCTCAATTGTGAACCCTGACTGCATGCGGACATCCCTCTCTCTTTGGCACTGCGACGAAGATGCATGCTCGATCAGTCCTGCACTTGCAAACGCCTGAAGGCTCAAAGGATAATTAGAAGTCAAACTACACTCACACCTCGAGGCTGTAATCCAAAAGAGGCATCGGTGTACAAGCAACTGGAACAGCAAATGGCTGAGGATGACTACCTTTCAACTCGGGTTGTCTGTGCATACGCTATGCGTGCTCGCTGCTCACGAAATGACTCGATAATATGCTCACTCAAGGATTTCAGCCGTGGAACCCGTTTTGGGCTTCACAAAGACTTCCAAGGACTGAGTTATGTCCCACACTCCTTCGAGTGCGAGTTTTCGCAAAGCTTGACGATCAATGACTCCCTTCGTGAGTCCGTCCGCCAACATGTCACGAGTGTCACACCATATGAAACGGCGTACGTTCGAGCTAATAAGTTCCCGAAGCTTGCATAAATGCAACAGCGCCAAATGATCATTGCAGCGCAACTCCTCCGAGGTCGCGGATTGCCAAACAGATTTTGCATCGATCACCGTATCAAGGTCTAGAGAATGAGTTCCCTCATCCTGCATCTTAGAAAGCTCATCTGCAGACTTCGCGCCGCTCAGGATCTCCGTGAGTGCCGAATTGATAATATTAGCTGTACCGAGAATATCCAAGCACCCATGTAGTTCAGCTGCGAATGTACTTCGGCATACTTTGCTCTGTTTCTTCGTCACGAACTCCAGAACTTGCAGCCGATTGCTGCCAAGAGATGGCCCATTCTTGGACGTCAAAGCAACAATACCACTTCGAATCGCCAAGCAGTCTTGATCTTCACCCTTGAAGGCACTGTCCGAAATGACAACAACCCTCCAAGGATCAGGAATCTTATGGAAAACAAGCTCAAGGGGTCTAAGTTTAACGTACTTAAGAACTCTATTCAAGTTCAAGAGGTCCTTGACCCGCGGCTCTTTAAGGCGTCTCTGCAGAGCCGCCACAAACACTGCCACATCAGGTCGCGTTTGAACGACCCAAGCAATGCCCCCGACCAGAGACATAAATTTGGTTTTAAGCTCATCTTCCACTACTTCATCCTGTTTGCGAAGTTTTAGATCTGCATCAGCTATCGGCCGAAGCTCCTGCACGTAATGTTGTTGACTGATGGCTCGCGCTCCAGACGGCAACAAACGATGCTTCAATCCTAGATGATCACAGTTGTCGTATTCCAGTTTCAAAGCATCGAAATCCAACTCAAGAGAGCGTATGGCAGCAGTTATCTCGGATTCTTCACCAGTGATTTTGAGATCATCCACATGCACCGAAATGATTAAGATCAACCGTCCTGAACGATGTTTTATGTATAGTTGGGGATCGGCCTTTGTTGCAACCAAGCCTATGCGTGTAAGAACCTTTTTCAACGCTAAGTTCCAAAGACGAGGTGCGTCTTTCAATCCGAACCCTGGCTTAAGTAAAAACAAGCATTCATTTTGACTGGAAAAATCTTCCAAACCTGGCAATGTGCGGATCAACTCTTCACTTCCGGGAGGCAGGATTAACTGCACCTGACGAAGCGTAGAATCTACGCCCATCTCGTGTAACTCCTTGAATGTCAGTCCACGGAGGAATGCCTCTGAGACATCAGCGGATGCCAGCCGCCATCCAAACTGCACTGACAGAGCCAACAAAATGCGTTGGCCCCAACGTGTTGTGGTTGACGCATAATTCTGCACGGACTGTCGGTCCTTGAACCCTTGCGCAACCAACCTTGCCTTAACCGATTTCTTACCATCTATTTGTTTCCACTTAAGAACCCATCGGGAAGTCAAGGCATTCTGCGCCTCACGCAGTGGTCCTCGCTTCCAGGCTTGATGCTTGTGCCACCGTGTCAGTTCCTTAACCATTGATTCGCGACACTCATCTACATGGTCAAGCGCTTCAGCGCGAGTCAATATGTTATGAGTGCGTTCTATCACTGCTTGGCCAGAACCGTCAACCAACATCACCAAAGATTCGTCGTTACGGCTTTGCGGCTTGTCAACTGTAAGAAAAGCCCTGACAGGATTCGCGAACTCAAGTTCAGGAGGCGATGACAAAAGTTCTTCGGATGAACAAACGAAGGCAATCTCGGATGCAGCATCAACGCAAACCTCTGGAGGCCTGCACGCATACAAAGAGACAAGTGGCTCAGAGTCCACTTCAGATTCAGTTACGACTTCTTCGGTACCTTGAGTGCCGTCTTCAGGAGTTCCAACGTCGAAGGTCTCAGGCTGGGGCTCAGCATCAAGAATCGCCAACCTTTGACGCTCACGACGTTGAACCTGTTGAGTCAAATCAACCATGGCAGGCAAAGCCGGATCGTGAATCCCCCCAACATTCGGCACATCAACGGCAATCTTTCGCAACTCAAGAATTACTTCGGAACTTTCTGCGAAGAACTGTACAAAACAAACGTCGGGCGATTTTGTTTCACAAAGCCTTGCAAAGTTGATACTTTGGGCACAGCTCAAGAGAGCGGTTCTCCACTCATCAAGCTTATTCGGATCCCACCATAGGAGAAGACTTTCATCACAAGGTGCCGCAGGCAACGACGAGATCGCACGACCAAATCGTAAAGCAACCACTCCCATGAAGCCAAGGTTGCAAGCAGCAACATGCAATCCGGCCAGAAGCTCACGAGGATAGCGCTGGTTGCCTTCAAAGGCCCTCCAGCTGCCGCCTTGCTGAAACCAGCCTAGCCTAATTATGATCCCTACATGGCTTTCGGCAGCATGCTGTAAGACCGACACGGGCGAATCATGCCTATTTGCAGACAACAAAGTGACGTAAGTCAGCGCCCTCCGAACATCCTGGATTCGACAAGAAATGACTCTGCCTTGCCACCTGACAGAGATCAATCCGTCCCGCACGCTCGTCACGTCAACAACTGTGGCGGGACCACTCCAAGATTCAATATCTTTGCTAGAAGATTTTCGGAAGAATTCTACAAGGTCACCAGGTTCAAGCTCAAGCAATTCACCTGCACGCCTAGTTTTGGTTTGCGCGGCTCTCCGAGCTTTCTGTTCAGCTGATGCTTGCAGCATACAGCGCAATGAGAGATGACGAAGCCGATCGGAGTCTCGATCATCAACAAAGTCCGGAGCTTCATGCGACACAACAGTGATCAACGGAGGAACTCTGCCAAACACACACTCGTAAGGCGTGCTTCCACCGAGGTTAAAAAGAATGTTCTTTGCAAAGATACATTCAGCTAAGACCGCCTCGAAGGATGCTTTTAAGCCTTCGTTGAGTGCATTGGTGTCCAACAGGTGGAACTGTCTGCGCAACACTTCGTGGTGTCGCTCCACCGTTGTGGCATGTTGTTCCTTGGCTTTCAAATCAAGGCGCACACCACGCGCTTCCAACCAAGCTGCTGCTTCAGGTCCGCTCAAACCGCCCTCCTGGTCTACTGCAAGCACCCGAGGAGGACCAAAGATTCGAAACCACGAGCGCTGCAAGGCAGTCAGCAAGTCATTGGTGTTTCGACTTGGAGAAATTTCCGCCATAGTGAATCGTGTACAAAGGTCAATAGTGTGCAAAATCACATGTGTTTTAATGAACAACAAATCGCACTGTATCACCTGATTGAAACGACTGGGCAATGCTGTGGAGGTGACCGTGCGGGGACCAGGTTTGGCCCAAGCTCTGCACACACTACACGTATCCACAACTTGTTTTGCGATTGCTATAACACCGGCAGCAACACCCGCAGCCTGAAGCAAGGATTCCATGCGAGCCGCAGGTGCATGAAACCATCTTAGATGCAATCTGCGCATCGCCCGTCTCACCACGGCAGGTTTTGAGGAGCGTAACTCCTGCAATGCACGACCGATGTCGAAGCGTGACCATTCGTCACCTTCACTACCCTCGGGCTGGGGAGCATCACGAGCAACATCTCCACCCCCATCGTCACCAGGATTTGGCGGAGGACCGGCATCACCAACGGACCCTTCCCCCCTATCTCGAACAACCCTAACACCCATGCCACCCTCACTAACCTGCGAAGCCATATCTCTACGACGAGGTCCACTTCTCGAAGCATCAGCTTTTGCACCAGCACCTCGGCTGGAAGCACGATGTGTAGCATCGGAAATCTCAGCAGACTCAGCCTGGTCAGGATGAGGCTCATGTGACGGAGCTGAGGGTGACGAGTGAGGATTGGGATCACGAGAGGAAGCTGATGGCAATGTAGGTCGTTCATCGGGTGCCAAGTCGGCCATGCGTAATTCGGCTGTCGGCTCAGAGGATTGTGGTACCCGACCATCCCGTGGATGGCTCCCTTTTCTCTCTCTTGACAAACCTGGTTGTTTTGTAGATGCGACCGCCCATCGACAAGTGTGATCAAGCAAGTGTTTTGGACTGGCCCGCGCAAGATTACGAACGCATGCGTCACATGTCCAGCGAAAGGTTTCTACATTAGGATGTTTACAATCACCTGATCTGGTATGTGATGGGTCGTCTTTCCTGCGATGGTTTCTGCAACCGGGACATCCAACATAACTCAAACGACAAGTCATTTCGTCCAACATCAAATCAGAAACTCCCGCTGCAAACACACGGCACAAACTACTTGGCCAAACCTTCAGCTCAGTAGCGAGGTCACTGACTTGTTGACAAACATAGTCTGCTTGGCTCACGATGTTGGAAATGAGCATCTTGCAATTACTGCGGAATTCCATGACGGGCTTCCTGGATAAGACGCACTTGTAAACTTTGTGAGCTTGTTCCACTGATTTCCATTCCGGAGTGGCGAACATTCCAACGTCCGGATTCTGCTCTACAAAGAAGTAACGTTTGGCCGCTGCTTGTGTTTCAGCGATGGCTGCACACAGCTTTCTCAGTACGGGTGTATTTTGAACCTGACATGGCGGTGCAAGAAGCGTCATCAGAGGCCTTATACGCTGCATGTAGTGCAACACCTGTTCGCACTCACCTGAAACCGCAGGGCGAAATCCACAAGTCACATCCAAGTTTCGACCACTGTGGTGATCATGCAACTTGCACAGCAAGAATGACACTCCACGCTCATCACCAAAGATCTCAACCAAAGCGGTAAACAAGGATCTCTGATCGCTGACAAGGATTTGGTCAAGCACATTCAAAGGGCACACAGGGCGGTTGCACACCCGCTGCATGCGCTTGTGGCTTCTAGAGCCGTGCATCCAACGACCCTTGCCGAACGCAAAATCAAACACTCGCTCTGGTTCAAATGGCTCCCTTACACTTTCAACGCTACCGAACCCCATAAGTTCACTAGTCCACCCAACGCTATCCACTACAGGAATTATGCTATCTAATGACTCGCCACAGTCATCGACATGCTGTTCGACCTCATGCTTACGTTTCACGGGTGTGTGACCAGCACGTAGCACTTCTTTACGCCTCAAAGCGCTCTCAGTGGGATAGCAAGGGGCTGACGAACTGGCAACGCTGACACCAACATGCAGGTCAGCTTTCGCGGCGGGAAACGACAGCGATTTCAACTGCTTGAAGTGATTTTCGTCGAGATGTTCTACCGCCCGGGAGGCATAAGCATTGATGGACCATCTATCTCCACGCCAAGGCATTGGTGCATGAAAGAGACTCGGATTGAACCGAAACAACCGATTATGACAGTCATACACGTGGCCTGGCAGTTGCCGTTCGTCAACGTTCATCACAACAATTTCTCGACCTGGAACAGGTTGGTCCGCAATCTCAAGCCACAAACCTCCGTCCGTAAACTGACCAAGGCATGTGATCAAGTTTTCAGACAACTTCAAGTTGTGAATGTCTCGGTGAGGTCGCAAAGAAACGTTGTGGTTTACACTCAAGGAGGACCAACAGACATCAGTGTTTCTTGCAGCCAAGAATTGGTTTATGTATCTCACAAACTGCTCATGTCGAAACGACACCTGGGTGACTCCATAGAAAGAGCCATGGGCATAGGCACCAAAGCATACACCCGAGGCCGCTTCATCACCCATGATTTTCATTCTTACGGATCGCTGCGGAATGAGAGGGGTGCTCTGGCACAATCTCAAACAAGCGCTACACGTAAAATCACCTTTTGATCTTAAGTCCCGTGCCAAGTTCTCTGCATCTTCCAAAGACAACGGCTGAACCATGCTCGGGAAATCCAAGATGGCTGATTCAACATTAAAATCACTCCTTGTGGTGCATAAACTTTTCAACTCGGGTTGCCTGTGCACGCTGCTTAAACGGGCTTGCTGAATAGCCTCATCGGCTAAACTGCGCAACACTAACAACCATCTCTCATCCTTGGATTTTCCTAGCTTTTTGGAATCTACATGCTTGACGCTTTCAGCACATTGACACGGCCTGCTGACCAAATGGAAATTCGAAGCAAGTTGTACTATCGTGTTGCAAGGCACATCAGAACTGCGTTGCAGCTTCTCATGTTGACACCAGCTGTGCGATGACACACACATTCCCGACAACATACACTTGACATTGTGCATATTCCATACCTGGCTGCGAGCATTGGCTTCAACCAACGCCAGTCGCCCGGCACTCATTTGCGCATGCACAACCGAACACAAGTGCGCAGTGCGGGCTGCATCATGCTTATTACCGCTACCTGAACATGGCCCGGCTAACCGAACCCACAAGAAAGCAGGTGCTTCAAGATTAGGCCTTTGCAGCAAAGCCTGACAGTGTCCTTTCGAATGCAAATCGTGGTGCACGTTGGTAGTGGAAAAGCCGAGAGACCGTAGCAACGATTGTCGCGTACCGCCCTTATCAGAGATTATCCAAGCTAAAGCTTGCGTTGACTTGACTGGCGCATCCATCACATCACACGACGTCTTTTCACTACCAGTGGGTTTCGAGAAAGTCACAGATTTGACCCGCTCGCTCACATCCCTGCAGGTTTATGTTTGACCGAGGGAGGAGACTGTTGACCTCGGCGACACACCATGGGAAAGTCCAATCGTTCGCTGACATCACTGGGCCTGTCTGGTTCACTCTTGTGATCCACGGGAAGAATGAGATGACCACTGGGAGACATTTCAAGGTCAAACACACGAGTGCCAGGTGAACACTTAATTTGGCATCCACCGGGTCCTGGGAGATACAGCTTCCGGGCTCCGATGTCAAGGATGCTACTCATTCGTTGCAAGCTACGCAATCCTAGCAACGGGGGAAGGTCAGAATCCTCAATGACCGGTGCAGTGAAGGAACCCATAACAACTTTGCCGTCCACATCCTTCAAATGCAAAGGTACCCTCTGCGCCTGGCTAGCCGTCTGGCTTTGCTTACCAACGCCTTCCACCGACAGATGTCGATCCATCTTCAGTGGTTGAGCAGTACCCCCAACTTGCGCTGCAATGCACTCAGAGGACCGTGAACCGACCAAGTTATCATGCGCACCCGGATCAACAAGCAGACCAACTCGACCACCTGGCAAACGGGTACGCAAATGATACATGGTACTCGAAGGATTAGCGTCATCAGACTTGAGGAAAGCAGATGTCGGTGATGCAGGGGTTTCTTCGCTTTCCCACCAAGTGTGCAACAGGGAACTCAACTGCAGCACTGCACGCTGTCTCTGCAAACTATCCTCACTTGGACCTGGAGCACCCGGAGGAGGATGCTTGGGCGTAGGAGCCCCGGCAACGAGCGTCTCGACCCTGGGGTAACCCTGATTGTCACCTCCGCTTGGCAAACGATCCTCAGGCGCAGGCTCCTCCACATCAGGGAACTCACGCACATCAGTTGCGGGAGGCATGGATTGCACCGATCGTCGCGACTTGCGCGACCGCTCACTTCCCATCTGCGACGCACTCTCCAACCTAGCCAACTCATCATCATACGCAGTTCCATATCGGCTTGGAGAGCCGGAAATCTCAGAAGGAGCAGCCGACTGCGATGCACTTGAACCTGCAATATAATGGAAAGCGACTCCAGACAGAGGGGCCAGATTGCCAACACTCTGCCAAGTTTCAATGCCTTGAACTACGTTCGGAGGCCGTGTAGGCGAGGTCATCAAGGTCAACGCCGCGGGGGCTGATGACATCACTGCAGCAGTAGTTGTACTACCTGATGAGTTGCCCACTACTTGAGGACACTTACGCCAAAGATGCGACTCCGAACCGCACTTAGCACAACGCATGATCTTGCCGTCTTTTCCCCGGGGGTTTCGTCCACCTGATCGGTCCTTACCCTTGTGTCCTTTGCCCGCAGACTTACCTCCACCAGCGAAGGCATTCGATGGCAGGAATGCAGCATAAGTCCTAGCATACGGACCTCGCTCAAGGCGAGCTCGCTGTTGAGGCCTACCGCGAAACCCAACACGACGATAACGCCGCGGGGGTTTTCCACTCCATCTACGCCATCTCCGGCGAGCGGCAAGATATTCCTGCAGCAGTACATTTCCTCTTGCATCATCATCATTCCTACCCTGTCCATCAATAAATACAGTAGCATATGCCTGGGCATTTTCATCTAGCGATCCTGTGTCTGACTCAGTGGCACTAGAAAACTCTTCATCCTCAAAGAAAGTGCCACACATTTGGCAATGATCAGTTTCGTTACTCATGGCGTAGCTACCCAAGCCACTCATGCCGCCCATCATCCTGGCAATGTCATCTTGCGCACCCTCAGATGCCCAACATCCGCCACCATCGGCCGAAGCATAAGCGTTGTCAGGCATGTTGGGGTATGCAGATTGCGACGCATTGACAGGATTTGTGAATGTGGGAAAGAAATGGTACCTGCCTGCATCCCCGGTGCCAGCTTGCTCATGAGGGTTATGACGAAATCCTCCCTCAAACAAATGACCCTGCCGACGGACTCGCTCCATGAGCTGCCCGAGCTGCTCATCATTTTGGGGAAGTTGACCACCCAGAGGCTGAAGCAACCGATCGACCAAATCAGGCGAAACATTAAGTGCGCGTAAAAGCAACCATGCGAGTCCCGAATGGTTAACCCCAAGTCCTCCTCTCTGATGCGCTCGATTGCGCAAGACATCAAACCTGACCAGAAAAGCATCCACGGACTCGCCTTGAAGTCGCTGGAAATTTAAGAAATCTGATATGGCTCGGGTGGAAGCCTCGCCCTCAAGAGGAGCGTACCGCTGAACCAAGGTTCGAACTAGCAGCATCAGTCCTGTGATCTGTTGCTGTCCATCCCAAACACCGTTGGCCAGATTTTCAGGCGGTATCTCCCTGACAAGTTCCTTGGCCGAGCCACTGACTTGCAGAGCTGCAATGGGTCCTAGCCTATGCGGTTCTAGGTCAGTTGCGGACGACCATAACACCAAGTCAGATATCCACGCCCTCAAGTTGTACGAATGATTTCTTTCTATCGACCAAGCAGGCGGCACCTTTAAGGTTGCTGTACCAACGTAGGGTGGCCCCGCGTCGCCCACATGGGCGTGATTACGTGGTCCATTCATAGGCGGTCGGAAGTGACCCGGCATCATAGAGCACAGATACATTACTCCCGAAGCCAATGGAATCACCACACACATACCCTGGGGAATACCGCCCGCGAACAACCTCTTCAGCATCTTGCGCAAGCTACGACGAAGGCCATGACTGAAGCGAAACCTTCTACGATGCATATTCTTGTCTTGTGACCGGCGGAAAGCAGCAATGGGACGAGCCAGAGATTCGAAGTCCTGGAGCCTACGCTTCACAGAACTCTGCTTCTCATCATTACTTTCCAACCGCTCAATCAGAACTTGCATCCCCTGAACATGACCCTTCAATGCATTCATGATGTCTCGCAAGCTCTCAGCATGCACAGCGCTCAAATCAATGTGCGTGCTTGACGTCGGCGAGACATCGTAAGACCAGGGGGTGACTAGGGACAAAGGTTCAAAGCCACCGGCATGCTGAGCATACAATGCTTCATTGGATACGGGTTTTACAGGACCTAAACCGGTTAGGGTTTTGGGTTCAACGGCATCAGCATGATGATCGCTCAGAATTTCATCTGGCAAAGGTCTTTCAGGGCTTAGACCATCTGGGGATTTGATGTTGTTGATCGTTTTAGGGTCTGAAACAACTGAAGACAAGGCGAGCACATCACTCACACCCTGACGCTCCGACGCAAAGGTGGAAGCATCCTGTGGGTTGACACCTCGTTGGGTGTCCCATTTACGCATCAACTCGTCAAGATGACTCAACGTGTCCTCGATCTCATGAAAAACAAAGGGCGGGCGAATGCGGTTTGACTCGTCGAGAGCCAGAGAATCGTTCGTCCAAGTCCGGTTGCTCACGTTGAGCTCAGCATATACTGTCATATTGAAATCGTTCGCTCGCTCATCGATTGAGAAATCCCAAGGGCAGCTGTATTCCATCACGAAGACAAACACCAGCATGCAAAGAAGCAATCGAACGATCCACCCAAACATTGCCCTGGTAACGGCTCCGAAGAGCTCCGCTACCAAATCAAAGAATGGTAGACGAGCGGAATTCATGGGCTCGGAAATGCTGAAGCTCAATTGTGAACCCTGACTGCATGCGGACATCCCTCTCTCTTTGGCACTGCGACGAAGATGCATGCTCGATCAGTCCTGCACTTGCAAACGCCTGAAGGCTCAAAGGATAATTAGAAGTCAAACTACACTCACACCTCGAGGCTGTAATCCAAGAGAGGCATCGGTGTACAAGCAACTGGAACAGCAAATGGCTGAGGATGACTACCTTTCAACTGAACCTAGTCAATTGTGTAGGCTTCTATACTCAGCCGACAACTCGTGTCAGTAGGAACCGTGAATCGCCGATCACCCTCAGAAGAGGCTCGAGACGCATGCTGTTAGACACTTGCGCAGTCAGCAAAGACCGTGTTCATCCCGCTAAACATCGGCAAACCAGTTTAGGCCCTATCTACCTGAACCTTAGAAAGCCTCCCTTTTCCGGGCTTCCTTACTACGCACCTGAAAATCCTACCTTTTTTTGTGTGGCTTTCATATTGCAAGATCCCTAGAATCTACCTTTTTAGGGTTCGCTCCCCACAAACCACAAAAACAACTACTATTTGTCTGGTTCTATTCTGAGGTCCTTATATACATCCTTAACAAGGCAGGGTCTTCGGTGTCAACATAAACCATGGGCCTGTAGCTTACCTCTGGTAGGGCATGCAAGAATGGTAGTAATAGTAGTTCGAATTGTACCCCATTCCTCCATTCCCTGCTAACCAAAGGTAAGATAAACCTTAAACCCCAACCCTGGCATGGGCAGCTTCTGGGTGTCTTAAAGGATCACGAGGGCTTTGACCCTAAGCCCGTCTAAGCCCTGGACCCCCCCTAACTACACTATCAGGACCTCCCCCGCCCCGCCCCAAATGCACTTTAATAGAGCCCCCATGGCCCTATGGCCCTTTATGCTGGGGTGACGTCCAGAGACACCTTGAACCAAACCCTAGACTCCAAATCCTAAGCCTTATACTTTCAAGCCAACCGTAAACCTGATCTTCACCCACTGCGCTTATGGGTTGGGTCAAGGTTGCCTGGGCTCCCAGCTTAGGCTGCTGCAGCGAAAGCATAAACAAGAAATGCAAAAACCCTAAATGCTAACACTCCCCACCCTTTCCCCCTCACACCGTAGAATCCTGAAGTGCGCCCCTTAGTGCCGAGGGCATCGGGGTGCCAGCCTTTGTGTCTCTGCGGCATGCAGAGTTCGCGGCACCGTGCCATTTCAGGCACTGGTGCCTGTGCCACAACCATCCAAACAGCAGCTGGGGCGATTAGAGCTATGCTCTCTCTGCCCAGTAAGGTTGAACACAGGGGCCTGAACAAGTATTGTGAATAAGGCTACGGGGTTTCATCTACCACATCGTAATATCTAACTATGCAGGAGATCTTCTAAAAGAACCTGGCTTTCAGAATTCTCCCGACATCACTATCCAGAACTACGCGAAGTTCTTGAACTCAGAGCTGCCCCAGCCCAAACCCAGAGCCCATGTCCCCCGCAAGGAGCCGGCCAACACCAGAACGAGCATTTTGGAACCCTAGTGGGGTCGATGATACAAAGCCTGCATTACTCATAATAAGGAATAGACCATTACTCCATTCCCATAGCTTAGGGGCTTAGGGTCTTTAAGGTAATGCAGGATTTTTATCATCAATCGTATGAAAACCAAGTTTCTTAGGGCCATAATGAAGACACCCACTTGCGAAGGGATATGGGGACAATGCTTTTCAGGGCTGAGGCATCAAATCACAGATTTCTAGCTTCTGAAATACCAAATTGGGTGTACAACGAACATGGCAGTAAACGGGGCCGAAGCAATGGTAAACCACGAGAACTGCGGGTTGCGATTCTGTTATGATACAGTTATGTACGGACTATTGGGGGGATACGCTATCCAAGTCTATGTGTGCATAGACTTACAATAAAGTTCGTCTGCAGGGCCCGTCTCCTTCCGGGCTGGAGGCGTCCCAGGGCCAAACAGATTCACGCTGCAAGGAATTCCCTGAACCCTAAACCCTATACCGTGTTCCAAACAGGCCGCTTCAGGTTTCAATTATGAACCCTCAACCTCTAACCTTAAACTCGCGCTAGCCGAGCCGGTTCGTCGCCCCAACATACTGTAGGGAGATTACGTAGAATAGGGTTTCGGATGGTTTTGATGTATATCTTACAGTGGTTTATAGTCGGGAACCCGAAGGAATACCGTTTGTGTACCAATTATTCTCAGGCTTCTACATGACACTGCAGTCGCGCCCCAGAGACTACGTCTTCGACAGTGCGAGGGTGGAAGCCAACGACGCAGCGGAGTCCAGCCGGTGGAGGTAGCAGGAGGGACTATGTGATTGATACTGCTGCAGTTAAAACTGCTACTGTTACCGTAGTCATATCAACTATGCTACCACTCCCAGAAACGATTCTCTTGCTGCAACGCCAAATTCCACATACATCTGTACATATATATATATATATATATATATATGCAGAGAACATCTTGTATGCTGGAGTGCAATAAAATTGTGCCAAACAGTTTCATTCAACTCAAAGCCTGGTCACCTCAGGGAAACCCAAAAGAGAACTGAGGTTGAAGGTCCATGTGCTCACGGGGTTCGGGGTTTCGGGCACACTGCGAAGCCCCAAGCCTAAGCCCTGAGCAGGGGCGCCAAGGCACATGAACATAAGCCTAATCCCAACCTTCCGGGGCTTCAACGTGGGATATTCTTCTTACCCAAATCCTAAACCCTACCCAACCCCCATACTTAAACCCATGTAACCCTTATCATTCCTAAACCCTCAAGCCAAACCTTACAAATTTTCTCCTTGCTATGACTTGAAGTTCGGCGTCAGAGGCCCGCGTCGCGCATAGGTTCCATTAAGCATCCACTACACGAACGGGGCTGGAGACAGTTTCACCGTGGCAAGGCCGGCACGCCTCCCAAGGTGTTTTGGGTGCAGGGACTTCGGGAGGCTTGGGGCTTTTCGAGTTTAGTGTTTTTGGGGTTCGGGCTTTTTGGGCCTTTGGGGCCTTTGGGCTCATGGCTTAGGGTCTCCAGTCTCAGCACTAGGACGCACCCAGCTTCGGGGCTCACACTCGGATAATCCAGGCGAGGCATGAATCCGCAGGCCGGCTGCGTGAGAAAACGACAATATCGGCGAGTTTTGGGCTTGAGGCTGGAATGTGGGTTCATTCCCTGCCACGGACTTAAGGTCAGCTCTGCGGATAGCAACCGTTATGGTTTTCAACGGATAAGATTCGAAACCATGCGGCTACATTGGCATGTCCCTTGCCATTTTGCGCGCAGAAAAGCGCGTGTGCAAGAGGCTCCAGCGAGAAAGCCGAAAGCCCGCTTCATGAGCGCACAACCTACCGAAAGTAGGCCATGTCGCATTGTTGCATATATTTCTACACTGTACTCATGTATTTCCCGAGATTTATCGGCCGTCCGCTTCTGAGAGAAACCAAACCGATACTCCGAATGATCTTCTGCGACTCCCCGCAACGAACGTGACGTCAGTACGACAGTGCTGAAGAAATCGTGCTTCACAACAGTAGCTCCGAAGCATTCCGCAACATCAACTGCTACTTTACAGGTGAGGGCTTCGTGCTGTCTTTTGACTGGCACTCCGTTGAAGGCACGGCTACGTCTGTGTCCGCACAGTTTTGAACTGTTCCGCGCCTAGGTCACGTGATCTCCAGACCACAAATGCCGGGCCTGCGCAGTATGCAGACCCTCAAGCAACTAGCTTCCGCTCCGCTAAACCACACCGCAAACCAAAAAAGACAGTGAACACCAAGTCCCGAAAACCTAACGTACCTACAGCGCGAAACCCTCATACTTATAAACACTCCTTTAAATACCCTTGCAACAAAAAGCAATCTGCAAAGACCAGAGCCGAGCCCCTTCACAGAGACTCATGAAAATTAACATCCGATACAAAGGCCTAAGACCTAAGACGAACCATCCCTTGTAAAATAGCCTGCAACCCTATATCCGTAAACCTGAACTGTCACACGCTCATGAAGCAGTCCTCCTTGGCGGGGGATTCCTGTATGCACCAGGCCTTGTCAGGGTTTACGGCTTAGCTTCGATTTGCATACATACATCTATGTGTATGTGTAGCGATATCAGTACCTGGATTCATGTCTAAATTTGTCTCTTCAACCTTGCGTACACGTTACGCATACATACGTACATGCATACATACATACGTACATAATGCGTACACTTCCACTGCGACTGCGTACTGCTACTGCTACTGCTACTGCTACTGCTACTCCTACTCCTCCTCCTCCTCCTCCTCCTCCTCCTCCTCCTCCTCCTCCTCCTACTACTACTACTACTACTACTACTACTACTACTACTACTACTACTACTAACACTACTACCACCACCATACTGTGTCTTTCTCTGCCTCGGCATACAGATGTAAAGTGGCCGAACTTTCAACTGGGCTCTTTTCATGTTCCAATGGTGGAGCTGGGAAATCGAGTCATGGGCGCGCGATGTGCCTGCTTCGGCACCTTTGCTGATTCACCTTACAACATATGCCGGATAGTCTGCCCCCGGACTCCTCGAACCGTGGCATGCCCTCCAATGAAATCATTTACATTGGGTGGCTTCGTGCGTTCTTCCTTTAGGGGCTCAGCAAACTCACATCTGCATACCTTCTTTCTGTCCAGGACACCAGTATACGACGGGGGCAATGCTGCGCAACGTTCAGACGAAAGCTCATCGATTCCATTTTCTGAGTTCTTGCACAGGCAACTGTGGTTGCAATCTGCGCAAAGAACCGTGGCTTGGGAACATGGAGGACCGGTAGGCCTGCATTGTTCACTTCGGGAGCCGTTGCTTTTCGATCCTCGAGTGTGACATGCGACTTATCCATGGCGGGGTCAGCTGGAATGCTTAAAGCAGCTAGGTTTCAAGGCGAGGGAGCATGTGCTTTGGTTGGTTCGTGCAGCGTCCAGTGGGATGTCCAAGACGGCAGATGAGCCAGAGCGCGATCC